GACAGCTTAAGAGACATTTCTATCGGCTCTGAAATAGCTCATTTTTAGCGGGGTACATGGGAGGCTTGTTGTCAGCTGTGCTTACTTGAAAAATGAAATTGATCTAAATGTAGGTCAGATTACTGTCCTTTGTATGTTCCCGACACCAGTAAGATCAGAGCAGCCTGTATTGATGTTTGGGGGAAAAAATAATCAGTGAGTCAGCTGCTGAGGTTTGATGCCCACTCGCTCCTTTTCTACTCTTAGGTGGTAACATGAAGAGAAAGGTTTTAATAGGCCTAAGTATTTATTTGCAAGGTTTAAATTGGAATATATTTGGTAGCATGATAATCGCAGTCTTAAATGCTCTAAGAGCTCTACAATTTGAGTCTTAGACCACTAATCTGATATTTGCAGAGTTTTTCACGTTTACAGCCTGGGTAAATGTAATGAACTCTGTGTCCACATGTTACAGATTTCCCAAGTGTTTTGCATTTCACTTTAAGAAATGCTTGATCTGATGTCCTTGGACCAAAAAGCCAGAGTGCTAGTATATAAGCTCCTTTTTTTTCCTGCTTGAGTGCTTAACAGTAAACTCAAAAATTCAGATTCCTTCTTCTGGTGTGCAAGAGGTATCTTACAGATTGGCATGGCTGTGGCAGGAGGATTGGAGAGCACTTTCACTGTAGCTGTGCCTAAAACAAGTCATCCAAGCACTATTTTGGGGAGTGGGACATCCAAATTTAATCCCCACAAACTGCTAGAATTAAGAGCATGGTTGCTTGCAGCAGGGTTATCCAGCTACCAAACATCAGTGCCTTCATGGTAAGTCTGGCCTGTATACTTCTGCTGCAGATATGAGGACAAACTACCTCAGAATCCTTTGCACTTCCCACAGAGAACACCATGCATGAAGGCAGCTACTGCAGAACAGCTGACATCCAGTAGCTTCTTACCTTGTCACTGCCATCTGTTCTCTTCATTTTAAGTAACAACCATACAGTGAGCCAGCTCAGGGAGATAATTCAGCTGAAACCCAGTAATTTTTCTTTCTTTTTTTTTTTTTTTTTTAAATCAAGACAGCCTCAATCACACTCTTGGAATAACTGAATTCATAGCTGCACAAGCACGGCTGCTGCAGCAGGAGAAGGATGAGCTGCAGGTTCTGGGGACAGAATGTCAGGAAATGACATTTTAAATGACAAAATATCTCAAAGCAAACAGTAAAAGGAGGCATTAGCATGTAATCTAGTTATGATCTTGTATCTGTGTTTGACTTTTCTAAGTGATAAAAGGAAATCTTGATTCATCAGAACTGAATGTTGTTCCAGAGATACCACCTACTAAAAGTACCAAAACCTTGGCTTAATAAAGCATTCTGATATTTGTTAAAGCAGAACCAGCAGTTCACTAGCTGACAGGTAAACATGTAACACTTCATTTCTTAAGAAGATGCTTTGCTATGTCGTGTCAGGGAGGCGTTAAATACTGATTCATTACAGAGAGGTTACTCCTGTGTGCTTTCCATGGGGCTGGGGCCTGCAGCTCTGACACACAGGCTAGCAAGAGTGACTATGAAAACACTGCTGGATGTAGGTGTGCTAGAAATTAAATACTGCCTCCTGTGTTGACGGTGGAAATTCCTCAGAATATTTCACCTTTCACTGAGGGGACCAGCCTTGGCAGAAGCCATAACTAAATACCAATTAGAGCCTGTACTTTTTTTTTTTTAATTCTAAGTATCCTTGATTGAAATGTCCAAGTCCTGTAGCTGTGAGTAAATTTAGCCTCTTATTTAATTGCAGTATTCTTAGCAGAAACACATGACCATCAGTAGGCAGCCCGTATTTTACTGTAAAACAAAATGATGCTTTCTATGGAAACAAGAGGGCGAGCTATGAAGTGGTTACAGTTGCACAAAGTGACTTTAACAGTCAGATGCACTCTGTTTTACAGTATCCATGCTTTGACATTCTTTTGTTAATTTTTTTTTTTGTGGAAAATATCCTTCTGAAGCCAATCCAATATCTTACATTGAAAGCACAAATTGGAGCACTCATACTTGACCTGTTGCTAACAAAAACATTATCTGTTACGTCTGAATCTGAAATCTGGCAATGTGTACATATAAAACAAACTACAAAAAGGCAAACCCTAAAAATGGTATTTACTTACCCAGTAAAACTCCGTATGAACAAGTCTTTTCAGTCTTGCCTTTCTGTATTTTGTACCTTTCTGCTACATATTATTTCATTGTGAGTATAAATAGTAAAATTCTAATTCTTCATGCCAGTTTTTTGCTAAGTGACATTGAATATTTCTGTGAATAGTCATCCTTCCCCTATTCTTTTGTAGAATTACACCTGTACCTAAGTACACCTGTACCTAAGTAGGGCTGAGAGAGCTGTTTTTCAGCACTGAGAAAATACACTGAAAGAAGCAACTCTCTCCCCTGAACCCAGTTATGGCAACACAAAGATGTTTTATGGATATTTATATTGGATAAATAGATGCAATGAGAAATATCAGATCGTTCAGATAAAAATATTGTCCAATATATCACTGCAATTCAACATCTCATGAAGATTTGAAAGTATGGAATTAAAGCATAAGGTACATGGAGTACTTAAATTATGGCTTGAAAGATGTGCAGCATATAGTAAAAACATCAATTTGCTAGTACAGTGTGTGAGCAATAGATAAACCATCCAGCTGGAGAAGTCATTACACAAGCAAAAAGTATCTGCATGCAGAGCAAATGAAGTGGTGAATTAGGAAACAGTGATTTTTAAGGCCTACTGTATAGCAAGGATTTTGCAGTGGGAAATAATGCTCAGACAGAGACAAACTGTGAGGTCCAGAAACATGTGGCAGATTATTTGCTAAAGGCTTTAATAAGCTAGAATCAAGAGTGGTGTAAGGAAGTGCAGTGTCTGTTGATCTTTCTTTTATTTAGAATTCTCTGTACTAAGATCTAGGAAGAGAAAAGGAGGGTCTTAAATGTGTAGGCTTATTTACCCATCTGCATCTCACTGTGCAGTTCCACTAAATAGAATGAGAATGGGAGAATATCAATGCAATATGTACATACTCATATGTACCTCAGTACCAAGGAATGTGTTCTGTTCAGACAAAGAGCAAAATTAACATCTCTGGAGTCCGCTTTCCCATAAATTGCATTTCTGTGCTGTTATGTTTCCGTTTACTGCAGTGGTCCTATTGTGGCGTACAGTTGATACAATAAAAGGGAGACAGCATTTGAATAATTAGTGCTTATCGCCTTGCAGCGAGTGATGTGAAGAGAGAAGTAAAACAAGGCCAGGCTTGATGGCATTAAAATGGGCTATCATTAAACTGGTTTAAGAGGACTATAGAGGTTGTATTCCAACACCTTGGGATTTCTAGCGTGGTTTTATTATTCTGATGAGGGCAGTCAGAAGAGAGAGACTGCAAAGAGATTTTCTGCTTCATATAAAGAACTCAAATAACAGTATGTGGATGGATGGATTTCCATCCTGGTGAAGGGCTGTGTGCAGCTGGAGGAGCATTATGTCTTGAGGGGAGAGGTAGCCTGTCAAATGAGACATGCAATTCAAACTTCTGTGACCAGGAGCACCGTTCTGTGTGATTCATACATTGCGGCCTCTCTTCAATAATGTAATGCATGTATTCTTTTCTTTGAGATGGAATCCCTTACTTTATGCAGTGGAAAATCCATTGTGGTTTTTTTAACCACCAACTCCCACAGAACAAAATTTTGGTTCAGGGTACACAGCTTAATAAAAACAAGTGTCATTCAACACTTCTGTAAGGTGGGGTCGGAAGATTTGCTTTCCTGTTATTTCCTGACAAGCTGCTGAGCTTTTTGGGGATACAGAGGCTGCCCGTGATAGGCTATCACTGACTTGTATTATCAGAACGAGTGGATGTGAGATGAGAAAGCTAATCTCATAAAAGCTAGTACAATGGAAAAATCCAGCCCTCCCTGCATGCTTAGAAATGTGCAGGCGATTTAGAAATGGCCACTTGACCAAGCAATACACTGCAGTAGGGGAGGATCTGTGGAGGGAAATGGTTATCCTGGCACTCATGCACTACGCTTTCGGGGGCTGTCAGCTCCAGTCTGGTCCCATGTCTGAACAGTTTCCTCCAGAAGAAATACTGGTTGTGCACTCAAGGCTGCTCTGGGAGACAGAGCAAAGTAAGGCAGGTGGGGATGTCTGAGCAGTTAGCTTTGGAAGTGCACTGTGAATCCAAACTGCAACTCTTGATGTAAAATCACTGTAGCAGTGAAGAACAAAGCTCTTGTTGATGTGTTGACCCATAGATCAAAAGGAATTTTACAGATTTGGTAAAGATGATTGTCACTGACCAGAACAATGACCTGCTGGTTCGTTTGATGTAGAGAGAGCGTCCCTGTCACTGCAGTCAGCTCTGCAGTCAGAATTTCAAAGTCACTGGTGGAGCAAAGGGCAATGTGGATCTGGCAATAATGCTTTTTCTTTTTTATCACACCATGCTACAAGCTTTACCTTTCTCTCATCTTAGCTTATTTCCCAATGCATGTATCAATTTCCAGTATTTGGGACAAGAAAGGAAATAAACCAAACACCTGCCAGGCTGATGGTTTGATCAATATGCATGCTTTAGATGCAGGTACTTGACAGAAGGGAGCTTCCAGTCACAAGTGAAAGAAAAAAATCACTGAGAACAAAGCAATCCCCATGGCCAGTTCTCACAGCAACGTTGCAGTCTCCTTGTCCAGCACACGAACCTCAGCCAAGGGTGCGTGTTCATGCTTGGGCACGTGAGCAATTCCTCTGAGCTTACACTGAAAATTTCAGCTGCTTTAGCTTCTTCTCACACGCGCTTTGCTTTCTTTGTTGTGTGTTTTAAAAATGTTAGGAACTCCTGACGAAAATCCTTTCAGAGGCAGAGCAAGACATGGCACCTCCTTCCATGACGCAGGCAGTAGTGACTTGACTGCAAACGCTCGTTTTCTGTCCTTCCTCACAAACAAACTACACACTTTCCTCTTCTTTTGTGATGCTGTAATCTGTCAGCAGAGTAATGCTGATTTCTGAGCCGTGTGTGCTGCCTGTGACTGACAGAGCTCTGGGGGGTGAATTGCTGTGGGCAGCGCTGGGAGGCTTTGTGCGAAGCTTGGCCTTGCAGCACGAGACTTGCTTCTTAAAATGTTGGCGGAAACTTTTACTCAGCCAATAAAGAGCAAAAGGATTGACACAGGAATTGCTGAAGGCCAAGGCACGGGAAAAAATAGTAACTATCAGATGAAAGGTAGAAGCATCTACAGAAGCATGGTATGTAAAAGAGCGGTATAGGTAGAGGATGTGGTTGGGCAACCAGCAAAAGGCAAACAAAGCAACAAGCACCAGCACTGTTTTTGCAACTCTCTTGCGGGATTCAATCTACAAGAAAATAATGCATATCTGGTATTAATGGCAATTAATTACAGTTACTTAGTTGGTGCTGATTTTCAGAAGTTTAAATGCATTAGTGACCAAAAAAAGCAAAACAGCAGAGGAAAAAAAGGGGAAAAAAAAAAAAAAAAAAAAAAAAAAGGAAGAAAAAGAAGAAGAAAAAAAGAAAAGAAATATATTTTATTATTTTTAAAGGAAGTCTTTCCAGTGTGAAGCACATTCCCTTTCCGTTATAAAGCACATGGGAATCTTATCTAATGTAGGGTTTGAAAGCACAGTGCTTGACGTGTCAGGTAACAAGGATGAGGTCTTTCTGCTTAGAATTCAGCATCATTAACTCCTGAGTTTTATAGGATCATAATAAAGCAAAGCAAACTCTATTTCTCGTTAGGAAGCCATGTACACTCACAATTGAGTTTATGAGTCATAAGCGTGTGCGTAAGCACACAGCTGAATTTGAATTGCTAATATGGGTTTATGGAGAATTTTACTCATCTGTTTGTGCATGCTATCAGGAAAAGGCTTTGCACTTAGGAATGAAGAGTTCAATCAGCGTGTTATATTCCGGAAAAACTGACACTTTAGTGCTTGATCATAACTTACCTGCTTACGGGCATGACCGTGTTCTTCTGCTGGCATGTTGAATGTACTTTTGTATAAAGTTCTGGCGATAAGAAAATAATAGACAGAAATAACAGCCAGTGGCACAATGTAGAACACAAGGAAGCAAATCAGGGAATGCACTTCCTGCAGTATCTTCTCAGATACGGGATAGGGAGCACATGCCTCAAAAGTTACATTTTTCTCCGGATTGCTGAAAGAGTACAAATCTGAAAAAACAGCCTCGGGGATAGCAAATACCATGGAGACAATCCACACACAGCCAGCTTTACAGCAGGTCTTCAGGAGCGCGTCCGAGGTCTGCAGCTCCAGGGGCTTAACAATGGCTCTGTACCTAGAAGCAACCAACGCCGTTGTCAGAGTACAGTAGTAGTGCCAGCTCCGATCATGCACACTCACTGCAGATAACAGCATCTCTGTTTTGGCTGAAGAATCGTCTTGGAAATGGAACATGATGATTCAAATGGAAATGCAAAGGTTGATTTTGAATGTGTTATTTTAATGAGTTGGCTGGCAGAACTCGTCATCAAAGCCTTCCTAAGTAAAGGTGCCTTCTACTGTTCAGATTAGAACCAGTAAAAGGAATCCTCTCTCCTGTTTTCACGATCATCTCTCCTATTTTCGTGGCACTGCACCGAAAGTTAAATGAGGGAACTGGTTTGAGAACCGGTTTATAAATACTTGAAACCAAGCACGTGTGCTGTTGTTCTCCTCAGTGTTCATAAGAAAGACCCCAGTGAGTGTAGTGATCTTACTCAAAGCAATGCTCAGGTGTTCATTCACATTTATAAAGCATGAGCAAATACTGCTGGTGATACACGGCCTGTGATTCAGCCACATGTGGACTGAGTCACACATTTGAGGAACTTTGGGTGAATCTACGGATGTGTGAAAATCAGTGTGGAAAGGAAGACAGAAGACAGAAAGAGAAGACAGAAGACAGAGGGGGCCTTACAGGGGGCCAGCAGATGGCATGAAAGGAGCTATGAAAAAAATCCAGAGAGCAAGACAGCATAGTTGTACCATTTTGCACAAGCTGAAGCTGATTTTCTCTTTCTCCTCTAGGCAAGTTTAAATAGAAAACTGCATGCTGGACTCTCATTTATCATATAAACATAATTTTTATTGACCTTAAGGTCTTTTAGCCTACTGGAACCTGATCATGTACATGATTCATGTTCTGAACTAAGTAAGTTTTCCGTATAGTGGAAACATTTGTGGAGTACTTTCACAACAGCTACTATGAAGAATCAAATATGGAAGTGAGGGCCCTGGTGATGGATGCCAAGCTGACTTCGTGCGGGACTAAGACCTTGGAACTGTGATAGATAGTTCAGTGAAAACATCAGCTTGATATTCATCTAAATGTTAGGAACTGTTAGGAAAGCAATGGCAAGAAAAAAAGAGATATTGTGCAATTCCCTGTATCTCTGGTTCAGGCAACTCATGGATACCATTTGCTGTTCTGCACACCTTATCTCAGAAAAACATACTAAGGATGGAACATAAAATGGATGGCCTGGAGAGGACTGATATGAGTTGTTGAGTCTTTCAGAACAAGAGTTGGGGCTATCAAATGAAGCCACATTAAAAACAAAACAAAACAAAAACAAAAAGAGAGAATGAAAGGAAGAGTCAGTGCAAAGCATTGCTAAACAAGTTCAGGAAGACACCGAGCAAGGGCAAAGAAGAGACGTCCATTGAGGTTACAAAGCAGACAAACTACATCTGCTCTGGAGGTCATCTGAAGGCCTAGGGAATTGGTGCAGTGCTGTATCATCACCATGTTCTCATTCTCCCTGTCTTTTCTTGTCCTTGTATTCCACTGCTGGACTCTGAGTACTGGCCCACATGACCCTTAGTCTGTCCCAATACAGCCAGTGTTACATTGGCTGATGTTGTTGTCAGAGCACAGTAGCAGTAGCATTGCTTGGGATTTAATGTCTGCACACATGAGCTACTTGCTGTTACATACAATCCTCTACTGCTGGCACACAAAATGAGAATCTTTTCTTTGCTAATACTGAAATACTGAATACTTAATATTAACTGATAAAATAATCAGCTCGTGCTCATTGGACTGAAATCTCGTCATAGTATTGTTCGTTCAGAAAGGAGGTGCACTTTAAACTGATTATTCAGCATGTCCTGACACAAGTCAGATGGAAGCACTGATCCCTACCAACAGTGCTTCATTTGTAACCTGAATTTAACTTCAGAGCATCTGTGCTGAAGTATATAAAGGAAGAAATAGAAAAGCTGTGAGCACAAAGCAGAGAAAACACTTGAGTTGTGGCGTGTTATCTCACACTAAGCGCTCACCATGCTGAAAATTACTGTAGCATTGCTGTAGCCATGAAGTCAGGAGAGTCAGGAAAGTAGTTTGTCTCACAGTCTGCAGTGAGTTTCCTTCTGGCTTTCTGTGCCACACGTCAGACCTTTCAGCTGTAAGAGTTTAGAGCCTCACTGAGTGCAGACAGTAAGACAAAGGATTTCCACTCTGTTTTTTCAGTTCAGTTTTTCATCTTCATTGACTACTTTAGAGCACCACTAGATAGCACCAATATACTGTCTTTTCCCTGCCTTAAACAATTTACTTCTTCTGTGCAACAGAGAAAAAAAAATCATACTGTACTTCAAGCTAATAAAAGGTCAGAAGACTTATGGACTTTTTCTCACTGCACTCCATTAAAAAGAACTGCTCCAATTTTTCTCACACATTTTTAAGTTAAATGGGAGAGTCACAATATGCCACTTAATACTGAGCAAAACAATCATTTCTGCTCTTTTATTCATTCCTAACTTCACACCTGAGGCAAATCAGATGCATCAGACCCACCTGTCAGCACTGAGAACAGTCAGTGTGAACACTGACACTCCAACTGATGTTAACTGGATGAAAGACAGCAGCTTGCACCCGATTCTCCCGAAGATCCAGGTATCCACAATGTACCGCGTTGCATCTACAGGCACGCAAGTTAATAAAAGCAGCAGGTCTCCAAATGCCAAGCTGGTGATGAAGATATTTGGAACCGTCTGCATTGATTTAATCTTGAAAAAGACTTTGATGAGTATAGCATTTCCAAGGAGACCCACTGAAATGATCACAGCATATGTAACATAAATTGTGCACAGTATTTCTAATCCTGGAAAGGAATCTTCGGTCCATTTTTCATTTGTTGTTTCATTCTCTATGATTGATTTCAGTTCTGTACCATTTGTAGCTGCACACAACGTCTGATTAGGTGGATGCAAATATACTTGAGACATTTCTTTAACCATCTCTTCTTCTCAGGCTGGACTTAATTTGAACAAAAAATTGTCTAATATTTAGCTTGCAGCATATCAGCAAAGTCAGCACAAAGGTAGAGGTTAGTGCCTGAAGTGAAGATTCCCATTGCACGTTAACTACCTTCATCCCCTTCTGGGTCTCCAAACGTGCCTAGGATAAATGCACACAGATCTTCTTCTGAACTGTGTAGGAGGTGGAGAATTTTTTTATTGGCTTTTCAGCTAGTGAAGCAGGGAGGGAGGAGGAAAGAAGAGTAAGAGGGTTTCTTTAAAGATCCCAGCAGAAATTGTGTCTTTTTCTGGGAGGTACCTGGCAAATAAGTATTGTATTACAGTTACTGTATCTAGCATGCAGAAGGATTCAGAAAGTGCCTGGCAAATCTTTACTCATATTTTTCAAAATGTTCTGGAAAGGAAATAAAATGAAAACTTGACGTAGTTTTCTGAATCGTACAGGTAAGCACAGAATATATTGATTTAACATAAAGCTCTACAGTCTCCTGATGGCAGATAAAGAAATATCTCAAATTACAGATAGGATTTGTTTAAAAAAGCCTTAGAGACAGCCCATGTCTGTCTGTGCTCTGATGGTGTTTCCATCACTGAAATGCAGTGACTTTCCAAAAGGCAATATCCGTAACCCTGCTGGCACTTACATGAAAGTTCATGTTTGTCCCTTGAAACTGTCTAGTTGACAACAAAGCCATGATTTACGCTGCTGTTTGAGCAGGCTTACAGACAGCTGCAGTGCAGAAGCCTGCTACTATCTTGCGGCAGTCGTCGTATTTAGAGGCTTTGAATGGTACAACTGATGATTCAAGTCTGTTGAGAGAAAAATCACTTTTCATGCTGCTGTCTCACACTTGTTAGTATGATTTGTCTTTAAATAAATCAACAGTCAAATCTGAAACTGCTCTGTGACAAACCTCTGATTAACTATACTGTAAACTAAGGGAACGGAATGGGACCTATTGGATTAAATCTCCAGAAATTAAGAAGGCTTATTTCTAAATAATGAAATAGGAAAGGATGCCAACGGGCTGAGTTTTATGTCTTGAAGATGAAGATCAGTAGCTTGTTTTAGGAGTGTTTTTTCCTCCAGACTTTTCTTCAGCTGAGACGTTGGAGTGGAGAACATCATCTGCTCAAATCAGTAAAGCAGACTTATGGCCCTTTATCTTTAGCTACACACACACAAATTAAGCTTGTTTCATTTAGAGAAAAAAAAAATCCTCTAATTTCCATTCTCCTAATCCCATAGCAGTGCTGTGCAGATGCTGTGGAAAGCAGACCCATGCTATGGCCAGGTGGAAGAAGGAGTCACTGATACAGAAGGGATGTGGGGGTTAAAGATCCCAAGTATGTTTTTGCAAGTGCTTTTAGAAGAGGAGTTCTTGTCACGATCAACCATAATACATCCCTTTATACAGGCACAGTACGTAGGTTGCTCACAGATTTAGGTGCCTTTGAAGATGTCTGATTATGTTGTCCACCTACACCAGCATAGTACTGTGCATTATATTTAATACAGAGTTCAGCATCTAAAGCAGATTGTGACAGCTTAGTGTCAGATACTTACATAAAATGTTTAGGTTTCCTGTGTAGGTGAAGCAGAGAATCAGCAAACATTAGGAACTAATTGCTATCCACCAAGTGTTGAGCTCTCAAGGGCAGCATCTGAGTGAGACGTCAGGTGTTTAACTAAAGCTGGGATTGAGCTGAAAGAAGCTCTATACTTGTCTTGCTTTGCACAAGGGGTTGGTTGGTGCAAGAAAGCTCAGTTGGCAGCATAGATCCCAACCTTGGGCAGTCCCAGGGCTCTCAGATCCGTCAGATATGGGCTGACAACATGGGATCTGAGGTCCAGTTGAATCTGTTCTTTCATTTTGTACAGCAAAGCAACTCCAGAAAGGAGCAAGGGCTTAAAATCCTGCTTACTGCTGGTACTTTGTGCACTGTTTATCCAGAACTGGACCCGAATTAAATATGCAAACCTATATTAATTATATATACTATATGAACTATGTGCTCAGGCTGGTGCTTCACACTGTGCGAGCCTGTCCTACCTGGGAGCACATTTTCCTGCCCTCTCTCTATCAGGGCACAATACCTATTTCTCACCAACTTCCCAGCAGTGAGAAATTCTGCTTAGCTTTCCTTTCTGTTGAAAGATTGTATTTTCCCCAACTTACTTCCTTCTTGATGGAATATGGCAGACAGAAGCTCTTTTCTTTCTGACAGCTCTTCCTACAGAGCTGATAGTACTGTGGGATTTTGCTGGGGCCAGGTTCTTTTTATAGAGTGTGAGATGTTTCTTAGTTGACTGTTAGGAGGTGCAAAATATTATTTTGAAACGCACACAAAATAATGTTCTTTGGACCGAAGAAAATCCAGGAAAATGGAAGGGTGGACAATAAGCATTAAATACACAGTCTATGATGGGAGAACTTCAATGTTTATTTCATGAATTTCTGTGTGCTTTCATTGGTTTCATGGGTGCAAACCAGGCAGGGGGAAACACACTGCATTCTTAGCTCAGATTCCAGTGGCTTTCAGATTTGAATTGAATATCCATCTAGAAAGGAAAGGAATGGCATTGTTATTACAAAGAGTAAACAACTCCAAGGTGTTACGTTTGAGCTCTGTGTAAAGAGAAAAGCAAGTGGGGTAATTCGGAGCACTGTTTGAAGTGCTGTGCTTCACAGAGCAGGATTGCTCCTCCTGAACTCCGTGCTGCAAAATTGTGCGAATAAAGCACTCAAGAGTGCATCATTCAGCTGTACTTTTTAATGCAAATTTTCTGTTTTAATGCAGTGTGAATGCTGACTTAAAGTCATTACCACGTGCTGTGCAGTGGCACCCACTCAGAAGAACCTCTTTCAGAATCATTTGCTCTGCACCATCCCAAAAGACGGAGAATGCAGCCAAAATCTTAACTCCTATTAAATAAATTGACTTGCTAACGTTGTAATTATCCCGTGCAGCACATTTTCATTATTTCAGCATGCACTGGTCGCGCAGAGTTGATTGTTATTTACTCAAATATGTCACACTGCTTCGTAGCTGGAGCAGTAGGAATTCAGGATTGATACAGAGAAGACTACAGCTCCATCAGCCAACCTCTTCTGTTTTATTTGTATCACTGCTGCATAGAACTATTGTCTGTCCTGGCATGTGGAGCCAGTCTTCAGTTTTGGTAGACTGCTGTGGCATCCTTTCTTAAAAAGGTGTATCTCAGATTAAGAGCTCTATTCCAGATGAACGTGATTGCCAGCCACTTGTCCATCCTTAGCAGTGCCCAGCTCCATCTACATCTATTCCCTCCAGTTCTGCGTCTCTCAATAACCTTTCTTGCAGTTTGCCTGCTGTTGACATAAATGAGGAGTTTTTCTCTTCCATCAGCAGCTCCAGCAATGAAGCCAGAATCTGCAGCTGTAACCAGAGTTATCTGAAATATAGTTTTCTTCCATCGTGTTTTGCTGTTGCTTTCACAGAGAACAGTGTCTATCTGACTGAAGAGCAATGCAATACTTTCATGACCTTAACTCCTCATCCTCTTGTTTTGAGCATCACCTGTGTGTTGGGAAAGGAGCACCTGCTATAGGAACAGCAGTCTGGCAGGGATGGGAATGTGCTTTGTTTCTGAACTGAACCTCTGTACCTTCTCTTCAAATAGAAATTGTCAATAGCATGCCGCGTAATGGCAAGTTGAGGAGACAAAGAGTCTCACAGCTGAGGTCAATGAAGTTTGTATCCGATAGTAATTTCACAGGCAGTGTGACTTCTTCAATCCATTTTTCCATTTTCAGGAAGACAAGTATTTAGTGGGAAGGAGTGAAAGCACACCCAGATGAGCTCTGCTGTCAGACACAGTCATCCACGTTTAGAGCAAATTACCAGCAAATCCAGGGCTCTTCCCAGCTCTGTTCTGTCTGGAATGAATCATTTCCATGTGCTACCTCTGAATCCCTCCTTAAACATAGAGAACATTTTCTCCCCGTTTCTTCAGACATTGATTTCTGAGCTACCAAGTATCAGGAAATGGGGAGGGATGATGCAGAAGGCACTGCTTGTGGTGTATTTCTTCAGTCGTGAGCACAGGAGCTTGGTTTCAATATCTGTCAATCTGATATTATTCACCAATATATGGGTCATTGACTTCAGTGGTATCTTGTTGGTGAAAACCTAAGAAAATAGCTTCCAATTTTGTTACAAAGTCTAAATTCAGAGTGTTCAGCACAGTGGGACTCAGCCTGACTATGATGCAATCTTGCTGATCAATGGTTCCAAACAGCTTCCATCCCATTCTCCCCACTCTTGCATCCCATTCCAAGAGTTTCCTCTATCAGCTTCAGTGTGAGAATGATTGGTGAAATACTGCTTTCATTTATCAGGCAAGAGAGAAAATGAAAAATTAAGATGTATCCTTGAATTTCTTCTGTGATGGGAACAATCCAGGAATGAAATAATACGGCAAGCGTAGTTCTGTTGGGCATCCTTGAAACACTCAGTGATGCACATGATCTAAAACCATCAGAGTGCCATTACATGTGGAACACTTTCTGATAGTTAAAAGCACAGAGTTTTATACAGTGGGTAATTATCTTCCTGGTATTTTGACTTCTAATCTCAGTTCCTTTCCTATAATGACAATTCTTACAGTGTCCTCAGAATAATAACCACCTTCTAAATTTAGAAAGAGTTTTACATTTTGAGCGTAAATGTACCTGAGATGCCAGTCATTACTGTATGTGATTTATAAACTGCCAGAAGAAAATGTAAACAACTTTACTGACCCTCAGCTGTCACCCTGTGTGATATTTATCGATCTCATGGTTATCAGCATGCTGTAAATGCACTGAGGCAGAAGGCAGCTTTGGGCAGCTGTCCTTGGCTGAGCTGTATGGTGGGGTTTGCGGTGTTCTAAACAGGAGTAAGGCTTTCTGAAGGTTTTACTATCATTTTTTGTTGCTTTCTTG